ACAATGTCCAAAAAAACTGCAAGAACTCCCAATACGATAACTTCCATTAATTTATCTGAAAATATCAACGTGTCTGGGGATATTCGGTACACATTTGATTGTGTCTGATCTAACAAGACTCAATTATGCCCCACTGTGTGTCTCTGTATGCGTGACAATCAGTAGCGTCAGAGTTAGGCAGTCCCACCCATTCTCTTCAAAAATTCGGAGACTGAATACCGAAGGTTCAAGAAACCTTAGGTCTTGGCGAACCAGGGTTTGAGGCTACGACGCCTGCAATAGCGTAACGGTGCCACATCAAGGTCAGCAAATATGAGCTCGTGGGGCGGACGACAAATCATTCCTCGCTCGTGAATGGCCTGATATATACTTTCGATGATGCCGACGTCGACGATGATGTCACATCTAGTGCGGACTACCTCACTCGAGAGAAATTTGATGTACTTCACTCAAAGTATTCTCCCGAAGAAATGGTGTTCAAATACATCCAGTTTTCGCCCAGCTCCCGCGTACACCGCTCAGCATTCAGAACCATAGAGAACAACAGACCAGGCGGATGCACGGTACACACGAATCTTCGTGGTGATGGACAAGTCTCATCATACCCATAGACGCTTTCTAACGTTTGCGAGAAGATGCAAATTCTGATTAAATATGATAGGATGTCTAGTTGATGCTGGTAAAGTCTCACCAACAGCTTCTAGAACACGCATGACAACGGATGCCGGGCGGAAGTGCACGTAACGATTACAACAACTAGATTAAAGTGGCTGACGCACTTTTCCACTTTAGAATCCCGAGAATTACAAAATAATCGCTAGACGGATTGACTGAAATTTGAGTTGGTTTGTGTTTTCAAATAATTTACGATAATCTACTTAAAGCACATATGCCCGTTGTCCCTCAGACAGTATATTCCAAAAATCGTTGAACGCCGATGAGGGAAATAGACGACGACCAGAAGGCTCACCCTCGCTTCCACCATTATCCAGACTACCGTGGCGTTTCTTTTGCTACAAAGCTTACGGAGCAACTTATTCCTTTATCACAGCGTATAGCATGGAAACTGGACGCCAAAAACTAGGGACATGAATAGACATGTTCTACTCATCCCATTATACAACTGTCGTGTGCCTTAATTGCAATAAGCAAATTCCGGTAATTATTTTTATGTGACCTGAGAAAACTTTGTAGGGTGGAGGAACGAAAGCAACCACTAATAAAGGATTTTTCAATGTCGCCCATGCAAAAGTGACCATCTACTGACGTTGAGAAAGGAAATCATTTAAAAATTAGTCGAAATGTCGTATCGTTCCTTTTTATAACCAACCACGTCGTGATCCCCTGCTTCCGACATTTTACTCCCTGCAAGTCTGGCTCAATTTTTAGCAAACCGGCAAGCTACGATTTATTCGAAATAAACAAATGCAAGTCAACATGTGTATAACATGTATATTATCTACTCAATGAATCACACATGCACTTACAGATAAAAGGTTTTAAAACGCATGATGGTAAATTATGTTCAGCCTGGATGAAAATAGCATCATGAATGAAAGGCGTCACAATTAAATGAGCAAATGTTAAAACAACACACAAGCGAGGAGGTGCTATTTTACTTTACGATGGAAGTGGAGCACATTTGGTTTACACCGCAAGCCTGACTTCCGCGATGAATCCGGAAGTAACCCTGAAATGGGAAAAAAGTGTTTTTTAGTGGTACATGAGAGGGCCTACGATCAAGCACACTTTATAAGTAATACATAGAGAGCAGTATGTAAGCTAAAAAA